ATGGTACATGTGTATGCTCAGGCTGTCATCCTTCAAGTCCCCTCAATGCCAAGGACCACACAATCTGACCCTCATCATCATGACCTACCTACTTCAGGGACTCCTTTTGCACATTACATAAAATTCAGCTGTCCCTCGCCAGCTCCATGATCTGACCCTGCCGACTCCCAGCGCACCCCCAGCCAGTCTTCCTTCAGTGCACTGGCACTCCTGTCCCTTGGCTCCAGGACATGCATTAGGCACGTGGCCTTCACACCCTGTCTCTCTGCCTGGAAGCCAGTGCCCCTGATGGCTGAGCTCCTGTTCTTCCCCTGGCTAACTGCTGCTGGAACTGAACATCAAGGCTCTCAGCTTAAATGTCATGACCTTTCATTCTAAATTAAGTCCCTACCCACAGCCTAGTGGTAACTGACATGGTAGGACAGGTTTTTTTTTTTCCTTCATAGCACTTACCACAGCTATGATATTTCTACGTATGTGACAACATGCTTCATATCTGCTTCTCTGGCTGAACTGTAAGCTCTACGAGGGCAGGGATCCTGCCTGTCTGCTTCACCACTGTACACCCAGGACACTGTCTTACATGCAGTAGATGTTTAGTAAATATTTATTCAAAGGAAACAATAAATGCCTATTTGTGCTAACTGTCCTCATTTCATAGAAGGGGAAACTAAAAGTCAGGGAAAATGAGTTTCCCTAAGCCATTAAGGCATACAGTGGCCAAGCTGGAATTAGAATTGAATTAGAATCAGATAATAATTAGCATTATTTAGCTGGATTTGAACCAGCACTGCCAGTCCAGGACTAAGGACAGAGAAGAAATGTATCAGGTGAAACTGGAAGCTGGGAGGGAATGCCAAAAGTTTGCATCTACACTGTAAAATTATCCAAAGGCTCTTAAATGAGGACTCAATTTGTATTTATTTGATTGCTTATTCTTTGTCACTAAACAATGCCCAAATATTGATACTCTAAAATATGCAGAAAATAAAATTATCTATTTCCTCAGCCACATGGCTAAACAAATCTAAGTGAGAAAATCAACAGCAAAGGCAAAAAATAAAGGCCATATGGCCATACTCTGTCCCATCTGTTCCACAGGGACCTTGGTCTCTGGTTCGCCTAAAACCAGATGGGGATCCAGAGAACTCCGAAGCCCCTCGCCTTTCCTGTCCCAAGCCCTGTTTGTGCTCACTGACCACCAACCCACACAAGTTAACTGTTACTTTGGACCCAAACTGAGCTTTGCACCCAACTTATGCAATTCATTTTCAATGTATTCTTTGCCCAATAGGAGCAGCGGAAAGCTACCCCTGGCTGATGGTCTCCATGAGTCTGCATAATGGGGGCACAAGAAAAGAGGGCCCCCAAATTCATTAGCAAATGAGGACACAGAGTGAAAGGGCAAATGGCCACCTTTCAAGAAGGTTGCTCTGGGGTTTACTGCTCAGCACCCAGCTCCTACATCTTCTTCCTGTCTCCCTGCATATGCGACCCCTCTAGCAGGGGTGCCTCCTTAAGATCTATTAACTAATGGCCCATTTCACACATTCACCCCTCATTGAGCAAATGCTTGTTAAGCATATCCCCAGTGCCAGGCTATGGAGCCAAGCAAGTACATCCAGGATCTCTGAAGGGGGAAATTAAGCAAGGTTTCTGTACACCGTAGGTGAGACCTGTCCTGAGCTGCTAACTCCTTCCCCTGCCTACAGGGCAGGGCATGTCCTGAGCTAACAATGTGGAACCAAGACCCTAAACAGGTCTCACTGTCTACAATCAATATATCTATAGATCCAAGCCATTTGCACTTGGAAGTAGCTACAGTCAGCACTTGAGATCCATGGGTATTAAACCTCCTGTGCAGATAAGGCAAAGCCTGCTCAAAAGAACTTGTGCTTCCAGGGCCATCAGGAAATTGATTCTGGTGCTACTTCCATGACTGATCCACTCTGGACCCCTTGCCCCACACCCGAAACCCCATTCCCATCAACTGTACAAGGGTCAGGTCAGATCTTTCCAACCCTGACAACCTAAACTTTGGCAACCTGAAATAAACCACCTTTTTTTCTTTTCTAGTTCAGTAAAACACATTTCCTGTAGAAATTAGGAAGGGAGGTAAAGCAGACAAGCTAGCAGACCATAGGTGTATATCTAAAAAAGTCCTTCCGTGTCAGGACGCTATGTGTTACTTCCCCTTCAATAAGAACTCTGCCACAGGGCCAAAAATTGCCTTTTATGAAGCCTGCCTATCTCTCTAATTGTAGCTCATTTTAAACTGATAAGCAATATTGAGTAAGAAGCAGCAAGACTAACAGACACTAGCCCAGTCTAGATGGCCCAATCCCAAGTCCTGTTCTGGGACCCTGTGCTCCTGATTCCTTAGTTGACCTTGGGGAAATCCCTTCCCTGCTTTATCTGTAAAATGACAGGTTTGGGCTGGATTACCCTTGAGACCTTGCATTGTTAAGATGATATAGTTCTTTCCACTACTCACTGGCTAACAGACACAGCACAGCAAAGACAGTTCCCCATCACATGGGCTGCTGCCAACATGGTAAGAAGAGACTGGGGACCTGGACCACAGAGCAGCTAAGAAATGAGACCAGGAAATGAATGCAGAGGTCTTGGGAACACCAGGGCCTGGGTACAGCTGTGGGAGGCAGGCACAAAGGTAAGGAAGAGGTTAGAAACTTCAAGATGTTGAGACTGAAGATAGAAAAAATATTAATACCACTGAAGAGCAATCTGACATAGTGGTTTAGAGAACCAACTCTAGAGTCAGATTATTTAGAACTGAACACTACATATGCCCCTGACTAGCAGTGTGAACCTCAGACAAGTTACTTATATTCTCTCTGTGATTTAAGTTCCCCAGTTATAACACTGGGGAACACTGGGCATTTTGTGTTATAAGGAAACAACAGTACTTTGTGGATCTTAAAAGGATTAATCTAGTTAACAATTCACTTTAGTGCCTAGTACATGGAAGCGAAATCTAAGTGTTTGCTTTTATTATATTATATATTATGTAATATTGTTATATTTTAGTATCATCAATATTAATCAAACATACATAAATTCATATTCCTACTCTCCCATTAAATGACCTTGGGATTCAGCTCCCTACATGTAATATGAGGGACTGAAAAATAGTCAGTGTTTCTGAAACTAGTATATATATACAAATAATATATATAATTCCATAAGGGATTATATGAGTTCTCTGTCAGGATTTTAAACACTTTGTGTTTTCATTTCAATGGTCATCTAAGGAAATATGAATAAACATACCTGGATTTTCTGAATGCCTACTTTACAACCAAGTTCTGGCACAAGATCACGAGTCTAAGTTTCTATTTGTGTTTGCCATGTATTAGCACCAATATTCCCTGGTGGCTCAGATGGTAAACACATCTGCCTACAATGCAGGAGACCCAGGTTCGATCCCTGGGTTGGGAAGATCCCCTGGAGAAGAAAATGGCAACCCACTCCAGTACTCTTGCCTGGAAAATCCCATGGACGGAGGAGCCTGGTAGGTTACAGTCATGGGACTGCAAAGAGTCAGACACGACCAAGCAACTTCACTTTAGCACCAATGTGATTGCAGTAGACCAGTGAGAAAGGCACAGGTGCAGAAGCAATTTGTGAATGATGAGACCGGACCAAATGAAAACAAATGATATCCAACGAAAGTCACTGGAAAAATTGGAAAATCATTGGAAAACTGAATCATTAGCACATGGTAATACAGGCTGTCCAAACTCAAACAAGTAAGTGTTCACTACGATAGTCACACTGCTGCCTCCAGTGTCAAATATAGCTTCAAACAGTGTCAGTCGCCTTACTACATTAACAGTGTTAATTTGAACTGTACTGGTTCTGCAATTTTGTTTCCACTTAATTTATAAATCTGTACGGGTCATATGTTCGCACGACAGTCTATAAGAATAAGGGGTTTATATCTAGTTTCACATACGTACATATTCACAAAACATTATAATAAAAAATATGTTTGGTGAACACAAGGGGACCTTGACATATTTGCTCTTTTAAAGAAGGGCCAGTTTCAGAAACAGTGAATTAAGTTATCTCCAAGATCCCTTCTGGCTCTCTGAGTCTAAAGAGGATGGTCATTTCTGTTGCAGGTGTGTTAAGCTTCATGAGGACAGCCAAAAGGGGATGTAGACTTAGAATTCAGGGGAAAATGCAGGGCAGGAAACAGACATTTAGAAGTCAGCTATAGAGAGGTGCGGCTGAACGCAGGAGACCAGACAGGATCTCTAGGGGTGTCCAGGGAGGGAGAAGTCAAAAGCTGATATCGGAGCTTCAGAGAAATCTCTGGGCCTTATAGCTTGTACCTTCTCACAGAAAAATATCATTCACCAAGTGTTAAAGATGGTATTCCTAGGGTTCTTGAAAGGATCACTGTCTCATCCAGAAGTGATGGCATAGAACCCTCCACAGAAATAAAACAAATCTGTTTTGTATTCCTCCAGGCTCGCAGTCCAAGCTGAAAGGGGAGAGTCCATACTAAAAGATTCAGTCTCTGACCTCTAAGAGCTGGGCCATGAACTCACTTCAACTCCACCACCCAGATCATTAGGAGTTCTTGGAGAGCCAGGCAGCCCCCAGGGCTGCAGCAAAAGTTAGGAGTAAGATGGCCAAGGGGCAATGTGTGCCAGGCTCCAGGGGTCTGAACTCAGGCCTGGGCACTAGCGCAAACAAAAGCTATGATCGCCGCCTGGTTGCAAATCTGCCTCCTATGATAAGAGGCAGGGCTAGCTAAGTCAGGACCTCACACAGTCCTGGGTCCACCAGCGCCAGACACATTCAATCACTTTAAGAAAACCAAGAAGAACAATACTGTAAAGGAATTATCCTCCAATTAAAATAAATAAATTTAAAAAAACAAGAAGAATCTCTTTTCCGCCCCCTTCTTCACCCCCAACTCAAAATCAGGAAGAAAAGCAGGGAGGATCCCCGGAGAAACCCAGGCTTACTGTTTGTCTTCTTCTGAAAGTGAGGTTCTTCCACAGCAGCAATCTCAGCTGAGGCCAATAAGCCATGTTACCTCAGCCAGCACCAGAGCAGCCTGCGTGTGGCTCCGGGGGCCTGGGAAGGAAGTGGCTGCAGCTCACAGCAGGGACGCTGTGGCTGGTCATTAACTGAAAGATAAAGCAAGAGGGGATGTTAGTTTTTGCTGCAAAGCCATACGCCAGTGAGGGCTGTTGCACCAGCCCCCTCACCTGAGCCCTCAAAACCCAGTTCTGTCCCATGACTACTTCTCCATAACGCATGAGTCCCTGACTTCCAGCCTTGGGTCTCTGGTAAACAGGCATGCTGGAGCTTTTCTGGCATTAGTCTGCGAGTAAGTCATTATTATCTGAATCACTGGAGCTCCACTGATGAGACCATTGGGAATGAAAAATTGAAAAAAATGAAAAATTGAAGGCAGACCTAAGTGATCAATCTTATGTGCCCAAAACACCAGAGCTGTAATTGGCATACTGAAATCCCAGAGACCTGCCTCCCTTCTCTAAGAAAATGCCTTCCTTCTCAGAAAATGTCAGCAGCATTTATAAATTTTGCCTTGAACCTGGAGTGACTTACACTATTGTCTGAAATTTGCTGCAGACTACATTTTCATCTCGCCACAAAGTTGAGTCCTTCCAATGATAAATGGCACCACTGACAGAGCAGTTTCCTAATTTGAAAAGTCACAGCGTGTCTTAGATGACTGTGAGTAAACACCAAGGAAATGTCACGGACACCTGGCTCCTAAGTAAGGAGGACAACCCCAAGTGTTCTGTGTGTGGGGAGAAAACAATATCCCATGGAGTAAGACAAGGCAGCCAAGGCAGGCAGAGAGCATCAGCTGTGAAACTGACAAGTTCCCACTGTCTGGACATATGCACACTTCTGGCCTCGCTCCACCTGCACGCGAGCCCACCTAACCCTTGTCAGGTGTCACAGATGCCTCCTTGGAGGACCGATTTGCCATGCTGGGGAAAGGGGCGGCTCTCAAACAGGAGAAACAACCTTCCGCGTGTCCCCGCTGCCCGTCAACAACAGTATTTATTTAATGCTGGAGTAATCCCAGTAGTCACAGTAAAATTAAAGCTAGGGAAAAGGCAGAAAATAAAAACTGGGAGAAGGGAGGGATACACAGGTCAAAGCTAAGCCCTGACACCACTTCACACCCAGGAACTCTTAGCAGAAATAAGAAACCAACGTTACCTCTAAAATGGCTCATTTAATCATCATGGTCTCTGGTGGAATGGAGGTGGGGATGGGAGATTAGGCAGGAGGAACAAACAGCAGAAAGGGCTTAGAATGTAGTGACCGCTTGTGGATACAAAACTAAGTACTGGACTAAAAGTCTGTGAGTCCAAACAGACCTCAATGCAAAGGTCAACCTCTAGCAGGACTTCACCCTCTTGGCCCCCACAGCACAAGGGCTTGGATTAAAAACTTCTACAAAAGAAATGGGAACGTAAGCAGTCTACAGTGTCTGAGAAGAATCACTGACTCTACTATTATGTATTTTAATTCACTCATTGATAAGCCAACAAATCTGGGATTCCTTTGAAAGAGTCAAGCCTTAAGACCTTTCTTTTCTTTATCATTTGCTCAGCAAACCTGTAAATGAACACAGACGCCCCTCCCCCAAAAAATTCTCACTAAAAATAATTAAACCAGCACTGTGTCCCTCCACAATTTGTTGTTTAAAGATGGCCGCTGGTCTCTCTGAGTGCTGAGAGCCAAAATTTGGTTGTGAGCTTCATGCTTCTAATCCTAAATCATTTTGTAAGTGGCCTGGGACAGGGCTTGCATTCCAGAAACACTGAAATAAATAATTAGCTAGATTTTCCTGATTCAAAAGGTGCTCTCCAGGAATCACTTAGTTGATTTAGAAGCTACACAAATCTTTTCAGGTCCTCAAAGTAACAATGAGGTAGATGGAACATACATTTATAGTTTAAAAAGGAACGAGAGCTTAGATAGGAATTAGGCCCAGCTTCTCAACTATGTGCCCTTGGCCAAAACTTTATGCCCTCTGAGCATCAATTTCCTCAGTGTAAAATGGGGGTGACAATACCTACCTTGCAGGATATTCAATAGATATTCAATTGTCAATGAGACAATATAAATAAATATATAAGTTCCCCAGCAAAGTATATGGCAGGCTGTAAGTGGCAAAGAAATGAGCTCCCTCCTCCCCACTTTTCTTTCTCTGGTCCATCCCTACCTCTTACAGAGAAATGGTTATCTCCTGTCCGAGCATTCTTTTCTACTCCATTATTTTTAGCAGTAGCAGCAGCAGCATTTTTAGCAAACTCATCATGGGTTTCCGACAAGGTAGGAGGGGCAAAGTAGGAAGGATGAAATCAGAATGGCCTAGTATTAAAGACCCTCAGGCTCAAACCAGGACACAGACTCCCCTAAATCTGAGTGGAGAATCTCAGAAGAAAAGAAGACACACCTCTGCAGGATATTCACGAGAAGAGAATGGCCAGGAGGAAGTTTTTTGGAGAGAATTTTCCTAAAGCGGGGTTTCTGCATTTCCAGACATGGATCCTAGCTTCAGAGACCCTCCAGGAGACACGCAGAGACGTCAGCAAGAAATAGCCTGTGCAGCGGTAGAAGGTTTTGCTCCAGCTTCGCCGGGTACTTGCCCCACTTTCCTACCCACCTTGGCATAGCCCTGGGCCTCTTGCATAATTCCCTCCTCCCACCTCAACATGGTGACCACTGCTGGGAGCAATTTATCCAAAGAGGAGGTTTTGGCAATGCCCAAATCCTCTGCTCAGGTAACTGAGGCCAAAGGGACATTTCTACATCAGTTTTTCAAGGAACCAAACAAACAAACCAAAACCAAAAAGAAGGCCGTACTATGTATTGACTAGATTTCTCAATGCTTCAAAGCTAGCAGCACACTCATTTCTGCCCCTGTGCACATTTCCAGTTACTGGCTGGAAAGCGTCCCGCTTCACAGTCATGGCCAGTCAATAGGCCACCCTCTTCCGGCTCCTGGACGACCACAGCAGCCACTTCCCTGAACTCCCTGCCTCCAGTCTTGCCCCCTCCATCCATTTATCACAGAGAAACCAAAGTGATGCCACTCAACCAAAGTTCCAAACAAGCCACTCTCCCACTTAAAACTGCCTTTGTCAGCACCCCACTGCCCTGGGGATAAAGTGCAGTCCTCACCTTTGTTTAGCTGGGTCCCCAATGATTCCAGCCTCCTCTCTCATCACTCCCCACTTTCTAAACCAAGCCCCAGAAAACTACTCGTGGCTCCAAATGGGCAGCCCTCTCTGCTACCACTGGGCCTCCTGCATGTTCCCTGTCCTGAATGGCTGCTTCTAGCACTGTCAGCTGGGCCAAACCTTCCTCAACCACAGGGTCCTGTCCTGAAACCTCCCCTGCACTCACATCTCTTTAAAAACCCCTCCTAGATGCACTCATGGCAGCCTCTGTTTTCCCTTGCATCGTTTCTGCCACTTTCTGAGTCCACAGGATCATTTCTCTTTCTTAACCGCAGTTTTCCCCAGCATGCAAAACAGTATAAGGCATAGAGTAAGCCCTCAGGGAATATTTGCTTAATTAATTAACTATGAGATGGACATGAGAAATAGGGATTCAGGATGGAAGGGTGGTGGCACTCCTGGGCCTATGGTAACCGATTTATCAAGCTTGATTAACTGATTAAGGCAAATTGTCCCCAGGGAGGGGGGTCTATGTTCACCCCACACTGGGGACAGCCGTGAGGATTGCTGGTGACTCCTGGGATATCCAGGAAAGTGTCACTGAATCCAGGTTGGCTTCCCACAAACACAGGTTTAGCTAAGGATGGAGCAGGCCCTCCCAAGGCCAGACGAGCCAAGAAACCTGCTTTTTCCCCACCTTTATGCCAAGTCCTAGGCATGTCCTCTCCAGGTCTCCACATCAGTCACCCAGGTGAATCACTCTTTGCCAAAATTTAACATATTTTCCACACCCCAATCTTTTTTGTACAGTATGACCTCATGGAAGTGACCAATTACATCTTTGGCCAATTTTTTAAAAGAAATTTCCACTTCAAATGCCACTGATATCTTAAAATTATTAAATACCTAGAGAATACCACAGCCTGCTAAACCATGACCTTCTCAAATAAGTAATTATTAGTTGCAGAAAAATGAAAATTAAAACCACAGTGAGATACCACTACACACCCACTGGAACTACTACAATTTTTTAAATTTTAAAGTATTAGTATGAGAAGCAACTGGCATTATCATACACTGCTTGTAGGAATGAAAATGGAACAGCCACTTTGTTAAATACTCTGGTGGTTTCTTGTAAAATTACACACAGACTTACGATACAGCCCAACCATCCTGTCCTAGGTATTTTCCTGAAAGAAATGATAGCATACGTTCACACAAAGACCTGTATGTGAACATCCATAGAAGTCTTACACACAATAGTCCAAACTGGAAGCAATCCAAAGATCCATAAATCAGTGAATAAATTAAAATGGAATACTACTCAGCAATAAAAAAGGACCACACTACTAATATATTCAACAGCATGGGAGAAATCTCAAAAGCCTTATGCTAAGAGAAAAAAGCCAGACACAAAAGACTACATACGGCATGAACCTACTTATGTGACATTCTGGAAAGGTGAAACAATGGGGACAGAAATCAGACCCGTGGTTGCCAGTGGGAGGGGAGAGGACAGATTGCAAGGAGCGCTAAGTGATAGAAATATTCCACACCATGGTTGTGGCAAGTGGTTATACATGTGCAGGTGCTGTCCCAGACACTGGAGATTCAGCAGTGAACAAAAGTGTTCTCATGGAACTTCTAGCAAGGTGGAAGAAGACCTGACAAATAACAGTATGTTGTTAAGGCAGTGGGTGATAAGAATAGTGAAGAAAAATAAAGCAGGGCAAAGAGAATAATGATAGGTGGGTAATTTTTTTCCTTAGGTCAGTGAAATGAGAATGTGCCATATGCTACTGGCAAAGGGGTCACCAAGTGACAGCTGGGATTGTGAATTCTTTTAACTTTTCCCC